TGTATTTGATGTTTTATGTTTTTCTATATTTCCAAATTTTTCAAATGACAAGAGACAAGAGTCAAGTTGTGCAAGAAAACAAGTAAAAATCGGCAGTCAACGCTAGGTTACAAAGTTGTGGTCTTTAAGCATGTAAGTAGCAAATGGTCTGATCACTTTATGTTTTGGAATGTTTTGGTAACTAAGAACTTCTGAAAAATTTGCAGCATCACAACTAAGTCCAATTTTGAAGAAATGCTTGTTGAGATTAGTAATCTCAACAAGTACGGTCGATTTTCAAGTCATCACGGATCAGTTTGTTTCTAAAACAGCATTTACAATTCTTCTCAGAATCTCATTCTTTACTACCTGAAGTTTGTGGTAGTATGACGCCCAGGCTCCAGATGCGTAGCATAGATTGACCTTAAAATGCATACTTAGTATATCCTTCATTTTTTTGTTGAGAGAGAGCCCAAAGTTATTTCCCAAAGGAGTACAGAAAGTTGGTTGGCGATACCACAGGCTTTTCCTATGAATCAAATAACGTGTCTATGAAATTCCTATGCAAGCTTAATATGATATGTCAGCCTTTGGTTATTGATAATCCTCAGATAATTTACACTGGTTCACAATTACCCTAAATAAGTAGAAGTAGGTCATTGCTATTTTTCGAATCTTGAGCCTTCTCACTAATAGGAGCTTAGACATTTGGGCATTTATTCTGATTCTCCATTTCCTGCACCAATCCTCAACATCTAAAATAAAATCCCAGAGTTTAGTCATTTCTACTCTTAAGGCAAGAGACTACACTCATTAGAAATAACTATTCATCGTTCAACCACTACGCATCTAAATGTTACGCATGAGATACATACAAGTCAGTATTTTCTCCCTTTTAGTACCAATTAAACTATATGCCTTTGTTATAAATTAATAAGTATGCCTGATAAACGTCATCATTAGAGAATAATGATCAGTTTACAATGTTTAAAACGAAAATCAAGTGAACTTAAGCAAAATTTTAACTCTTTAAACCTTTCTTATGAGATCTCTTCACCCATATATACAAAATGTGAATCTGAAATTAGTAAATATTTTCAAAATCTGTAACTTGAAGAAAGGTATTTGAATGAATATTTAAGACTTCAAGAAATTACACTTATTTAAAACATTCCATCAGAAGATAAAGAAGCCAAAGATAAATATTTTTAAAACTTTGATTACTGAATAAAATTTTGGGTGTTAAATTAATATAATCTTGATTATTTCATTAAATGATTATTTTATTGTTATGATTATTAGTATAATTAAAATCGGAAGGAAATTTAATGTAGCAAAAAGTAACAAACCAGCAGAGAGTTTACGCCAAATATGATTTCCCTCTCACTTCTAAAATATTCTTTTAATTGGCGAGTGACTAAATTAAATTTTCAATGTAATAATGAGGTAAGAAAGAGGGAACATATTTAAAAAGCTAATTCAAAAAGTAAATAGATAACTTCAGAATAATTTTGGTGAGCGTCATAATCCCGGCTTATAATGGTATTTTATTATATATTCTTGAAGCAGTTTTCCTTGTGTAAAAGATAAATTCTTATTAAAAAAAATAAAAATAAAAAGTGTTAGGATGTAACAAGCTTTATTTAAAAATCTGATGTGTACACCACAGGACTTCCTCGTACGGAATATTAAATTATACGCATTTTTTCTTCATTTCGTTTAAACTTATTGGATTGAATTAAATCTACTTCGCCAGCGTATAAACCACAATAGAATAAAGGTATTCTTTAAAATTCACTCCATTTGTTTATCATAGCGACACTCTGGCGCTAGGTTCACTTAACAGTGTTATATTTCGTTCATATTATAATTCAGAATGCACAAAATTTATATCTTTTAAAGAATTATCTAATCGATGCCACATGTCCTATTCAAATACTATATAAAGCTAGAACGATGTATAAAAGAAATTAAGAAAACAAAACAAAAAAGAAACAGTTTTTCACAGACGATTGAGTATTTCTCATTCATTTAATTCAGTTCTCACTTCGCGACAAGGCAAAAATACATAAAAACTCAAGATTCTGTATTAAAAATTACGAAGTAAATCTTAAACACATATTTCCTCGAAAAAATTCCAGAAAGGATTAAGCATGATTTAATTCGCAATATAATAAATGAAGGCGTTATCTCTGTTGTTGCGAAGCTATGTTTCTCTAGATTGGCAACAAATCCACTACTCTGCCGTTTCAAATGTAAACAAGTAATGGCCGCATCAAAAAAATTATTAGGCTTAGCGGCACTTAAACAACTTTAAAATTGTTGATAATTCTAAAAATATTGCATACAGATTTACTAAAGGTATAAAAACCTTAACCGGAAGATAAGAACAATATAATTCAATCTTTTTTAAAGTAAAAAATGTACAATTTACAAACATATAAGAGTAAAGAGGCTGAGATCACTGAGCCGGGTAACAGAGTGGATATATATATAAATATGTTTATATACGTTTGGCCCGGCCGATTGCAACGACCAAAATACGAGGTGCACATCTACATGTTATAGTAGTCCTATATATAAAATTTCAACGTTCTGAGGCTACTCGTTTTTGAGTTATGCGAGATACGTACGTAGGTACATACGTTCGTACAGACGCCACGAAAAATTCTCTCCATAATTCATTTTAAAGCAGTTTTATAAATTTTTTGGAGGAAAAGAGTCTTTTATTCTGTCCTTACGTACATATATCACGCAAAAACATTGTTAAATTGCATTCGAAAGCTGTCAAAATGGGTATTTTCGTTGAAATAATATACTGCCAGTAACTTTTCGCGATTACAATACTTCCTTTTTACTTCGTACAAGGAGGTAAAAAAAGTGGCTAAAATCAGAGATAATGAACTAACTATCAACTCACAGAATATTACTGTTGACACCATTGGATAGAGAGAAATGTTTCTTTTAAGTAAAGTTTATATGAGATATTAAATTAATATCTGACTTTTTGTTCGAATCTATAAATTTTTTGTACTATATGACGCAAGACGACTATTTTAAATAAAACTTTAATTAGTCATTTTTGAAAATTTATTTTTCAGCTGAACAATTTGATTCATAATGTGTCATTCAGACTAAGAAGAGTTAAAAAAAAAAAAAAAAAAAAAAAAAAATCGAAAAAGAAATTCCTCTAAAATTAGTTTTTTTTTTTTTTAAATCATGAATCACTAATGAGCCAATAGAAGAAAAATAATTTATCATATAATTAATTGAAACAAGAGATAACCCTCTTGATAAAATTCCTTTACTGTTTTACAACACGATTAAGAAAGCGTGGATTCTTAAATAAAGAAATTCAGTGATCGAAGAACTTGTCAAACATCCTTTAAACAAAAGCTTATTTTAAAAAATCTTTTTTTTTTTTTTTTTTTTTTTTTTTTTTTTTTTTTTTTTTTTTTAATTTTTATTTTTCCTTTAGCTATTCCAAAATAGAATTTTTTAATTCTCCTTCTCTACAGTTTCCAACTAGTAACAAATTTCTTGTTTTGTTAAAACCGCTGAAGTTCTTTATCGTAAAACATCAAGTTCTTCCTTTGCTAATGAGTGTTGCCAGGATTGCGTGGACGTTTGGTCAGAGACGGATTTAGGCGTGATAAAGCCTAAGCTATTGGAGATATGGAGCCCTTTATAAGTCTGTTATGATATATTTTAATTTTGGTGCGTCCACTAAGCTTTAGCTTGTGTAGCTTATACGGAAATCCTGCACTGACGTTTGTCCTCTTAGGCCTTAGGTATTTGGGTGAAAGAAAGAAAAAAATCCGTACTACCCTTCCTGGGCGTAATTTTTCTTTCTTACAACTGTACACGAAGGCCCGAATTCGTGGGAAAATTTTAAATGACAATTTATCGTAACGACTCTTTACGGAAAATTAAGCAGCCGTAGTTAGGAAACGTCGTCTAGGAGCCAGCAAAAGAAGGCCAAATAATGGCCGACAAACATCTAAAGGATTAAGCTCGCCGTAGTTAGACACAGCAGGTTGCACGTGGCTGGACATTTGCTTAAAAAAGTAAAGTTACGGGAAGTACTAACGTTAGAAAAAAATTACCTCCAAAAACATTTTTCTTTTAGCAACATATCATTTACCACTCCAAAAATCAGTATTTGCACTAAACTAATCTGAATCACTTTACGAAGCTTGTTTCAGATTGACTGACTGAATACTGAAAAACGGAAAAATAGCACCCAGAATTTTACATATACTGCCGGTGTAGAAAGTCAGCGGAGTAAGCCAAAAAGCAATGGTAAATTCAAATATATACGTTGAGGGTAGTGGTTCATACGATAATTTTTATATTTTGCGTGATTGACGAAAACCTGACCTAAACGTGCAAGCGTTTTTCGATACTTAGTTATTTACGAGTTGTTACATTCTAAAACATATACTTTTTATAATTATTTAGCGCAATCCCAGTTTTCCATGTGCTTTTTATACTTATTTAAAGCAAGTCCTTCGCTAGACTCTACAGTAAGAATATCGCAGTGAATGAAATTAAGAGTGAGGCTGCAATAATTTTCTTTCCCCTTCTCATTACCCCTACAAAGAAGATTTGAGGACTAATTTTTTAAAATAGCTTAAGAAGCTTCCCTCAACTAAGTACGATTTTCTGGTTAAAACATGTGAGCAAGCGAAAAAAATTGGGGGTTGGAGGGCGCTCGGGAGTTGGTTCCGCCCCTCACAAACCAGATAACCAATACGGACGATGCACCTTTCGAAGCTGACCAGGCCAAAGTACAGGGGAAGCAGTCGACCGTTAGGAAGCGGATGTGTAGTACGCTTATTTTTGTGAAGATTGAATAGTGTTTTACAGAAACTTACAGCAAGTTTGAGTTGTTACTGTTTTAACGGATAGAAAAGAGATGGAGTCGGAAATGACGAATCGAATGCACCATCAAAATGCACCTGGGCGCAATGAAGTTTCAAATTTAAAAAATGAAGTAGAGCACATAAAACGCCCCTTGAATGCTTTTATGCTTTGGGCTTGCCAAAATAGAAAGAATTTTGCCAAATATCATCACGGGATGTCGTATTCAGAGGTTAATAAAACGCCTTGGGGCCATATGGAATCAACTTACAGAAGAAGAGAAAAAGCCTTATAATGACGAAGCTAAAAGGTTGAAAGAGCAGCATATACGTGAGCATCCAGATTACCGCTATAAACCTCGTAAAAATTCTAAACAAAGTAAAAGATCAACCCCAAAAGCTATTCGTCCTTTTCATCATAGTAGAAGTAGAAGATGTTCATCCCCATTTGCCATCACTTCATATTTTCAGTGCCCTTCTTCTGATGCAGCCGGTTTTCTAAACCTACATCTTATGAACTCTTACCAGAGGATAGCGCTGTAGTAGGGCACAGTGTCAATGTGTCTTCAAGTTCAGAAATTTCTAGAAACTGTCCCAGTGCAAACGCAGGCTACGAGCCCATGTCTTTTGGATGCATTATTTCACGGGCAATGGAGTGCCTATATGATTTGTAGTTCCCAATATTCTGTAAGTATGCAAATATTCATTAATTGAGCATTTTGTGTTTAACTTTTAAATTAATGTTTTTTGCGTTGAATAAGGTAAGAATTTTTAAAACAAATTCTCCTTTTGTTGTGTGTGCATAAGTGTTTTTATCCTTATTACTTCAATAAAATATGAAATTCTTGCCCAAGCAATGGATATGTTCTTTATGATTTTGTGTCTATTTCATACTGATAAATTTGCGCAGTAATAGCCCCAAAAATTTTACATATGGAATTTTTATTTGAAATGTTATTGAATTTTAATGCTTTTTCAGTAGAATGGAAAAAAGCTATAAATATGATTATTTTGTAAATATCTGATTCAATGTATATATATATATATAAGTACGTTAAGCATTAGACAAGCATAAACAGTCATAAAGATTTTTATTTTGAAAATTTTACATGATTATTACTTAGTTTTCATATAGTTTTCAATTAAGTCATATACCGAATTTCAGTGAACTGCAAATATTTCATTTAATCCAGCTCATTTAATTGTACAAGCTGGTGATTTCAAAAATACTTTGACTTGAATAACATGTTTGGTACAGTTTGATACACTTAGATCTCTGGTAAATAACTTATATACCTATATGTGCTGAATAATAATAAGATACAAGCTGAAAAATAGATTTTTAATTCTATTCACATTTTTGCCATATTTCTTGTACAATAGAAAACTAGAAATCCGTAATGCTTGGGACTAGAGTTTGCATGGATATTAGGACCGAACAGATGAGTCATAATATTTAGATTAAAAGTGCAAAACAAATAATTACATGTATAATAAAGACATAGGAAAATAAGGTACATTAATAAAGTGTATATTCTTTCATTTTTTACTTCCTTGTACGAAGTAAAAAGGAAGTATTGTAATCGCGAAAAGTTTCAGGCAGCATATTTCAACGAAAATATCCACTTTGACCGCTATCAAATGCAATTTAATGATGTTTTTCCGTGATATCTGTACGTAAGGGCAGAATAAAATACTCTTTTTCCTTCAAAAAATTTATAAAACTGCTTTAAAATTAATTCTGAAGAGAATTTTTCATGGCGTCTGTACGAACGTATGTACGTACGTATCTCGCATAACTCAAAAACCAGTAGCCTCAGAACTTTGAAATTTTTTATATAGGATTGCTATAACATGTAGATGTGCACCTCGTATTTTGGTTTCGATCGGCCACGCCAAACGTATATAAATATATTTATAAATATATCCACTCTGTTACCCGGCTCAGTGATCTCAGTTTCTTTACCCTCATATGTTTGTAAATTGTACATTTTTTGCTTTAAAAATGATTGAATTATGTTGTTTTTATCTTCCGGTTAAAGTTTTTATGTCTTTCGTAATTCTGGAAGCAATATTTTTACAATTATCAACAATTTAAAAGCTGTTTAAGTGCGGTTAAGTTTTTAAATAACATGGTGGACATATTGGTTTACATTTCAAACAGCAAAATTAGATTTGTTGCCAATCTAGAGACACTAAGCTTCGCAAAAAAAATAACCTTCATTATTATTGCGAATTAAATCATGCTTAGTCCTTTCTGGAAATTTTTCGAGGAAGTAAATATTTAGATTTACTTCGTAATTTTAATCAGATATTTTGAGTTTTTATGTTTTTTGCCTTGTCGCGAAGTGAAAACTGAATTAATTGAATGAGAAATACTCAATCGTCTGAAAAAAACTGTTTCTGTTTCGTTAGTTTGCTTAATTTCTTTTATACATCGTTAGCTTGTTATAATATTTGAATGAAATGCGGCAACGATTAGGATATTCTTTTATGATATAAATTTGTTGCATTCTGAGTTATAATATGAACGAAATATAATACTGTTAAGTAACCTAGCACCAGATTGTCGCTATGGTAAACAAAGTGAATTTTAAAGATGCATTTATTCTATTGTGGTTTAATGGCTGTCGGCGAAAGTAGGTTAATTCAATCTAATAAGTTTAAACGAAATGCAAGAAAAATGCATATAATTTAATATTCCGTACAAGAAGTCATGTGTGGTCCACACTTTTTTTCTATGGCGGCCATTGTGTTTACATTTGAAACAGGAGACTGATGGATTTGTTGCAATCTAGAAATTAGCTTCGCAACAACAAGATAACGATCATTTTTTTGCCAATAAATCATGCTTAATTCTTTCTGGAATTTTTTTCGAGGAAATAAGCGTTTGAGATTTACTTAGTAATTTATATAGATATTTGAGTTTTTATGTATTTTTGCCTTCTCGCGAAATGAAACTGAATTAATTGAATGAGAAAGACTCAATCGTCTGTGAAACTTTTCTTTTTGTTTTGTTTGCTTAATTTCTTTTATACTAGTTCTAGCTTTATTATAGTATTTAGAACAAACGATTAGATAATCTTTAAAATATACATTTTGTGCATTCTGAGTATAATATGGAAATATATACTGTGAAGTAACCTCCAGAGTGTCGCCATGGTAAACAAAGTGAATTTTAAAGAATGCATTTATTCTATTGTGGTTTATGCGCTGTCGACGAAGTAGGTTTACAGAACCACCATCCTCAGCTGCAAAACCACAAATGAACAAGACAGGCTATAATGATTAGAAAAGTATCGAATCAACGAGTTGGTGATTTCAAAAAAATACTTTGCCTTCACTAACATGTTTAGTACTATTTGGTACACTCAAATCTTTGACAAATAAATTATATGTAGCTGCTGAATAATAATAAGATACAAACTGAAAATTAATTTTGAATTCTATTCTAATTTTTGCCACATTTGTCGTACAGTAGAAGACCAGAAATCCACAATGTTCGGGACCAGAGTTTGTGAGGATTTCGGGACAGAAAAGATAGATCATAATATTTAGACTAAATGTGCAAAACAAATAAGAATATATACAGTAAAGACATATGAAAATAAGGGACATTAATAAAATATAAACTTTTTCATTCTTTTTTTTTTTTTTTTTTTTTTTTTTTTTTTTTTTTGGTAAACTATATAGAATCGCAATCTCTTTCTGTGTAACAAGAAGCTCCGTTATTCTAAAAATTCTAGAAACATGCTCTAAACCTTCATTAAAAGAAATTTCCTCACTCTTATTAAATTCACTATTTGTGCCGGTGTCGGAATCATTTTCTTGCTGTGCCGACTTCAAAACAGAGCCAAGAATTTCATCATCGGTCATCCAATATGCCAATGTTGGCTCATCTGGACATGTCATCCTTTCAACGATATCTTAGTGTAATACGTCTTCATTTGTTCTTTCTTTTGGGTACAGCAGCAATTGTCTTGTCTTAACATTTGCAACACTGACCCCAAAACCAGAAAATTCACTGTCATCGCTCAATATACAGAAAACTACCATCATATTCCTCATTTGAGAATTTATGATTACAGAGGGGGAAATGCGCAGCATGTAGAAATAGCTCACTTGAATAGCTTAATGTAACTGAAATTACTAAATCATAATTTTCTCTAATATTCAGTAAGCGTACAGATATTTCATATCCTATACATCTATGCTTACAATTATCATAATGAAAAATAAAATAAAATATTGACACATTTTTTTAATATTCATTCAGTTGTAGAGACTTAAAATTTATATAATACCAGATTTGTAAGTAACGACACAAACAAATTTAAACATGAAAAATCATAGCTTTTATTAGCAATCAGGATCAGATAAAATGAAATAAGTTCAACAATCAGAATGCAAAATTAACTGAAAATCACTCAGTTAAGTAAAGCAAAAAACAATGACTTGAAAAAAAAATAAATAAATATAAATAAAAATAAATAAATAAATAAAATGTGATTTTAAAAGAATTGATATACAACAGCACTAAAAATCCAAATGGGAAGGTTTTATTTGTTTTATTTCTTTACTTAATTTTTCCATTGTTTAAAGTTTTCGTTAATCTAAGTGTTAATATTTTATGAGCTTAAGCCTTGTTCTACTTTAAATTATTTATACTTTGTTTATGCTTATATTATTTAATTATTTTTTATTGAAATTTACTGAACCCACCCCCAATAGGGCTCTCGCATTTCTAATTTTAGAAATGCAGCTTTGATAGAAATATATTCTACATAAGCATTGAAAGATAAAATGTGGTAATATAAAATGTCTCATAGTAAGTATTCCAACTTCGTTACAGTTACTAACCTTGTTTTGTATTAGGCAAGATAAACTTAAATATATTCTGTGAGAAACTTGATTTTTGTGGTACATTCGAAGTTGCGATGCATATGTTACACTGTAAGAAAGAAACCTAGCGCTATGGAAATAAATGTCGCTATGGAAAATAAATGTATTGAAAGTTTTTTATTTTCTGTAATCTGTGTGGTGTTATTTTATTGTGATATATAGCTATCGACGGGAAATAGAATAAGTCAATTCAAGTTTTTGGTAACTTCTTGTGCTAAACTTCTTTTGTGGTGGGAGCGTAAGATATAAATTAAAGATGTGAAAGATATTTGCTCAGTTGAGCATTAAGTATGACGTTCACAGCATCCCCCACTCAAGTAGACAAAGGAAAAGTTCTAACAGAGTGTATTTCTCCCACCCACCCACTGCGTTAACTTATGAGTTAGATTAAATCATGGAGATAAGAATGAAAGGAGAGGTTAACCGCGCGGAGAGGTTAAAATGAAGCACTGTTCCGAAGCTTGGATCTCCAAATGGGGTGTCTTTTGTTTACGTCCAGAAGCTTCCCTGGCAGCGCTTTGATAGTATTTCGACACAGGACATTTCCACACAAATCGAAAAACGGGACACTTCCGCATGAAAGAAACATTAATTGTAAGGTGGAGAATAGCAATTTGACATTTACGCAAACATCACATCTT